GATAACCAACCAACAGCAACAACAACCATCACCAATCACCATCAACGCGGGAGATTTAACAGAGGTTAGCTCCTTCATTTATCTGGGAAGCATCGTTTCAACTACAGACACACTGCATGGATGCAGATGTCAAAGTCAGAATCGGAAAGGCAAGATACACCTTCATCAAACTGAAACCAGTTTGGTAATCTTCTGCTTCACTCAGCCAGCATAAACAACAAGATTCGGATTGTGAGCACCAATGTTAAGTCAGTCAGTCGGTCGTTCTAAACGGGTCAGAAACTTGCACTGCATGTCACGCAAAGCATTTCCAACGGGTTATTGCAAACTTTTTCAACAGCTACAACCTTCAGTGGTTCTATACTGACGGCTGAATGTCCAGCCAGAAAGAATTGGCAACAAGAAACTCTTGCAACAAACCAACAAATAGCCGATCGCTCAAAAGATATGTAGGGGAAAGTGGAGATGGATCGGGGATACATTGAGGATACCGTCGAATGAAATCGCTCACCAGGTCACTGTTCGAGTGAAATCCCAATGGTCATCGGTGAGAGAGTGACATGGAGGAGATCGAGTAGCGAGGGGGGAGATGAGAGATTATGGGCAGCCATGGACCGAGCTGAAGAGAACGGTAGAAAGTAGAACAAAGTGAAGATGTGTTTTTCAAGCCCTATGTCCCACTCGGAACCCAAGGGAATAATAATTAATATTTTACATATTCACACCTTTGTTTCTATGTCGCCGTGAGTTATAATCACTTAAAAACCGCACATATAAACCACTGTGCAACTGGATAATAAAATTCATTGAAAAGATTTCCTTAGCTGAATATTATGTTCTTAATGTTACAATGGGAATTGTTAAATTACTGTGAAAAATTAAAAGCCGCAGTGATGCTTTATTGTCATGTGTTAAAAGAGGCGAAAATGGGACACTCCATTGAGAGAAAATGGAAAAAAAGGGGGAATACTAAGATCTTCCCCTTTTTCCCAGACACCGCACATTGTCCCCTTTTTTTAAGTCAGAATTTCCCCTAATCAGCAGAATTTCCCCCTATTACTCGCATCATATTTTTTATTGGTAAAAGGAAAAAAAGTTTACAACAATTCGTCAAATTAATTCTCTAGGATTAATGAACAGTTAGAATTGTAAATAATACACACAAGTAGAATGATTGTCTTTTAATATGAAGTCTGAATTCAGCATTACACCTGCCCCCCCCATCATCAAGTGGATCCATTGAACTATCCTGAAAGACCTTAAGTGTGAGTATTTTGAAACGTTTAATTTTCCCATGAACATACAATAACAATTGAGTCACTAGAGACAAACCATGTACTGTTGAACCAACACGTAGTTCATATAATTAACAGCAGTAGTTATCATAACGTTGACAGTTACACGCTACTGGCAGTTGCATTATAGATATTTACAGCATTCATTTAATTAAATTGTCACTTACAGAAGAGATCCTCTGGTCACTCTTCTTTTTGCCTACAGCAACCTATGAAAAATAAAAACAGAATTTCGTTGATTGACATTCATACAATGAAACGGTTTGTAGTATAGTAACCTTAATTTACCAAAAACTGTTTACTTACTCTTCGCCGACTCCTCCTTTTTTTACACGATCACGTACGTCGTGGAAGTAGGCCTTAGCATTGTCTTTCAAGTAATTTTGATGCTATTGGCCACTATTCTTAATGTATATACATTTATATACATGCATACATACATACACATATGTGCATGCGTGTGGATTAGTGTATGACGGAAAACGCTTTAGTTGTCTGGAGAAAACTACTGCCATTCTTACTTCTAAGTGTCAGTACTTCCTTCTGTGTTCTGCCTGTAGGATGTTGTGAAAATATTTAACAGGAAACTGTCGATGCAATTACATTAAGAAAAACGTATTAATTGAAGTAATGGTAACGTAATTTCAACATAAAAATTTAACTACTTACAATTTATCAGTAACCTCCCGCGTATAGTAAAATTTTCCATTGTTTCCCCTCAAGGAATTTTTTCCCCATTTCAAAGAAAATAGACACTTTATCCGCGTTTTCCCAAAAATGTCCCCTTTTCGTCCACACATTTGTCCGATTGGGCCCTTTTACGTACATACATGTTTGTATTTGTTTTGTCCTTTTTATTTTGCGTATAAACAAAATTAGCAGTTTAGTCGACTACAAAAGTAAGAAATCTTACGGAATAATAAGTACAGTTTACTATCTCGTGTTACCCGCTTCTCAGCTCTTCACAAGATTTATCCACTAACAGAAATGAACTAAAAGCAGTGTACCTCAAAAATGGCACTTTTACTGACCTATACAAAGTGAAGAAGAATCTTAGAGATTGGGATACATAATCAAAATTCTTCATAATAAGTTATCAACAGACATGTAGGGAGTGAACAAAAAACACTAAGTATTTGTGTAACAGTTGCAATAGTAATAATAGCAATGACGAAAAGAAGAGGGACAGTAGTAGTAGAAATAGCAATAACAACAGCGAATATGTGAAATGATAAAAATCGTCCATTGGTTCGCAGCCGTAGAATTAAAGTGGTAAAGTTAAGACATAAGCACCAAAATGAGGAGCATCAAAAAAAGGAGGGAGGGTGGCGCATGCTGATCAGCAGATTTGGTAGTAATCACAAATGTTAATCGCTCCTATCTGTAGGGCAGCAACATGCATCTTTTTGACAGCTTGAGAATTAAACATGAGTTTAGATCCTCAATATAAAAAAGAAATTAACTTCAAAAAACAAAACAACTAAAACAATAATGACTGCACAGATCTAAATTATAAAAAATACTGCTTTTGCTCCTAACATCTACAAGCCTGCTCAGTTTCTTGTCAAGATGCTACCCCATGGGCCATACACAAGTTCGCCAGACATCCTACAGGTCACTATATCCAACAGGTTCTAATCCTTCAAGTCACTTCTCTCTGATATGTCACTTATATACTCCATGACAATCCTTCTATCTAATCACCATTATACTCTATTTTATTTCAACTCCCTAGCCCTTTAATAAAGCTGAAATTTACTCTTTCTATTCAGACTATTCACTCGCATAAAGTTCGGTTGCTCTGATGATGAAAACAGAAAGCATAACAACAACACCCATGTTTGAGAATAAGTATATTTTCATAGAAAACGTCATAGTTTTCCATGGTAAGACCAATATGGTTAGCATTATACATTGCAGATGTGTATTATCCTTTCAAGTACTACATAGCTTCTTCTTGTATTTATCTTGTAAATATACTTCCAATAATGTATTATTCATAATTGCATTCTATACCATTTTGCAGCTGCGCCGGATATTCTTCACTTCCTGAAATAGCGTTCAAGCACGTGGGGGCATAGCACTCACTCAAATATATGTTGTTTATCGATTGGACATAACTATCATCAGGAAATGGAACGAATTTTGGGTTGTCGCTCAACTTCGATGGTGACCTCCGTGAAAGATTTACAAATTAACATTTATAAGAATCTGTTCCGATTGCTTGTACTATTTGAACTTTAGAAACAGTGATCATCTATGCTAATTCACAATTGTAATCCGTAACATAATTGATCGTGCCTGTAAAAATGGCATGCATTTCATGTAAACGTTTATACGAAATATATATTATTATTATACATTCCGTTGAACGTGGCAATCATACGAAAAAGGAGACTTTTCGTATTAAATGCATATATTCATGAGAATAATAAGTAAAAAGACATGGAAATGTTGCACGGTATACTTGTGACAAAAATGCCTCTCAGTCTTGGATTAGAGTGTCAATACAGTAATTATTCCACATCCTATACATGTATTCATCTAAGTCTTCTAACCCTCGCCCTAAACCTAATCTTTCCTTAACCTAACCCTAACGCGAAACTGTCCCTAAACTAGTCTTACCCTAGCCCTAACCAACCGTATTACTTCCTTCATCTGGTTAACCTAAACCTAACTTTTCACCAGTCTAAACCTTAACTTATTATTATTATTATTGTATCCTTTAATTCCTAGAGGAACATAGGGCTTCAGCCGTGCGTCTCCATTGCGTTCTGTTCTCTGCTAGAGTCTTCACCTGGCTCCATGTCTGCCCACACGTTTTCATCTCCTCTTCACATGACCTCCTCCATGTCACCCTTGCACTGACGACCAACTCGCCGCTTCCCTTTCGGGTTCCACTCAAGCAATGGCTTGTCTAGTGATGTCACTTGATGGTTTCCTCAGAGTACGGCCAGCCAATCCATCTCCATTTCTTCCTGCCTATTTGTTTCACAATCGGTTCCTGGTTGGTTCGCTCCCAGAGATCCATCCCTGTTGCTGATTTTTTCTGGCCGGCCATCTGATCTTGAGTATTCAGCGAAAATAGCTGTTGATGAAGGTCTGTAGTTTGTTTGAGATGCCCTTTATGACGCGCTCGCCAAGTCTCTGATCCGTACAGTGAGTAGCACTGACTGCCTTCACATTGGAGTTGGAAATCCGGATCTTATTTTTGATGCTGAGTGTTGCTGGTCTCCACACAGACTTGAGAGAAATGAAAGCTTGTCTTACTTTCCCGATCCTTGCTTTGATATCCTCGTCAGTTCCGCCTGTAGTTGAAACGATGCTTCCCAGGTAGGTGGTTTAGGGGGCTGTAGGTATCGACGTTCGCGAGTTGTACGGATTATACTAACGCAAGATCTTATACCAACAACCACTATAGTGTTCGTTCTTCGAGTACCAAATGGTAAAGCAAAAGACCAGATTTTGTCGTCCAAATACGATATATATTTTGGGACCAAATCGCGGGTAGGAATGAATGCTTAGCTAGCTAGTAATCGTGCACGCACGTGACACGACGAAGCACCAAATGGCGGGGATGCTTGACCGTAAGCCTTCAGCTAAACAAGTCGACTTAAACAGTGATGGTCAGCATCCAATGTTGAGTGATGATTGCTGTGGTTAATAATTTTGGGGAATTATTTACCGCTACAGCTCACTCCCCCCCTAGTGGGGTTGTGAGGACCCTAAGACATGACCAGCCGGAAGTAAAAAAATCTCGATGGTTCCCTGATGGGTGAAAAAAAATCTTCCAAGCGGCTTGATGGAGAGCCTGCTGGTCTGTCTGCCTATGCTAATAGGGTGTCTGTACATAGCTTCCTCAGTGTTGTTCGTTGGATCCCGTGCTTCGTTTGTTTCCTGTCCAGTGCCCGTTGCACCTGGAAAAGAAAACAAGAATGCTGAGAACCTTGTCAAGAAAAATGTACCAAATAAGCGTTTTCTTTTACCAAAAAAATATGACATGCATCTACTATACAGTAAAATAATGTAAAGTTCAAAATTTCGGGAAAAAAAATATACATCTTATATAATTTTATGTACGGTTATAGGAAAAATATCATTTACTTGTGTTAAATGACGCAACATAAAAAAAAATTGATGTGTCACTCAGTTATGTGAGATAGGTGTGAAGGTATTCTGGGAATCTAACGTGACGTCCAGAACGCGTTTTTTTAGAAAGATCGACCGAAGGTTCAGTGGCTTTCGCCGTGCTAGGGAGTTCTTCGAAGACTGAAGTAGATTCAATTACTTGTGAATTATCGGGTACGTTAAGCTCCAGGCTAATAGGATTACCTTCCAAGTAAGCCGGTTTCAGACGGTCGATACTGACGGTGTCTTCGCGGCCTTTTTTGTCTAAAACGAAGAATTTATCAGTACGTTTAATCACTTTATATGGTCCGTCATATGGGGGTTCTAGAGGACGACGTACCGAGTCGCGACGAACAAATACGTGTGAAGAAGTTTTTAAACAAGGGTGAACGAAAACATCAATGGACTGTGGTCGGAGGGGAGCAGGTTTAACTGAACGCATAGCGTTTGTAAGCCTGCTGACGTATGAGGAGTGATCTACCACTGGTGGGAAGCTCGAGGGAGAAACAAACTCACCTGGCAGTCGTAGTGTTGTGCCATATACTAGCTCAGAGGTAGTACAACCAGCATCGGTTTTTAAGGCGTTTCGTATCCCTAGGAGAACTAACGGAAGGGATTCAGTCCAGTGGGTGTTATTTGCAGCTGATAAACCAGCTTTCAACTGTCTGTGCAGACGTTCTACCATACCATTCGCTTGAGGATGGTAGGCTGTCGTTCGAAAACGCATGCAACCAAGGATTTTAGTCAAAGCGAAGAATAAACCGCTTTCGAATTGCCGCCCACGATCAGTTGTTATGGAAGATGGGCATCCAAAGTTTGCGATCCATCTCTCCACAAAGACGCGTGCGACAGTTTCAGCAGATATATCCTTGATGGGTACTGCTTCAGGCCATCGTGTGAAGCGATCGATGCAGGTTAACATATAGGTGTATCCATGAGATTCTGGAAGGGGGCCAACTAAATCTATATGGACGTGTTCGAAACGGGCATCAGGGATAAGAAAAGTGCCAAGGGGGCTTTTAGTGTGTCTTATTACTTTGCACTTTTGGCAAGCTAAGCACGTCTGCGCCCATTCCCTTACTTCTTTGTTCATACCAGGCCAACAAAACCGGCTAGTTACGAGCTTGACAGTAGTTCGAATACCTGGATGGGATAAGCCATGCAACGTATTGAAGACGTTACGGCGATAACTTTTAGGCACGATGGGGCGAGGAGTACTAGTGGAAATGTCACACAGAATAGTATCCTTTCCTATACCTAAGGGTTTCTTGGCTAATTGTAGAGTTGTTTTCGACAACTCACGCTGAAGCTCAACATCTTCTTTTTGAAGACGAGCCAGTTTTACAAGGTCTATGCCGTCGATTTGGGTGAAAGAACAAATACGTGACAAGGCATCTGCCACAGTGTTGTTCACTCCGGAAACATGGCGAATATCTGATGAAAACTGTGAAACGTAATCTAGTTGTCGCGATTCCCTGGGTGAATACTTATCTGAAGTTGAGTTCAGAGAGTACGTCAGAGGTTTGTGGTCAGTGAAAATGATGAATTCACGACCCTCAACTGAATGTCGAAAATGACGTATAGCACAGTACATAGCTAGAAGTTCCCTTCCGAATGTGCTGTACTTCGTTTCAGCTACTTGAAGGCGCCTCGAGAAAAAGGCGAGTGGTTGCCACTCGTTGTTAACTAGTTGTTGCAGAACTGCGCCGATTGCAGTGTCTGATGCATCAACCGAGATACTCAACGGTGCCGTTGGATCCTGATACATAAGAAGGGTGGCATCCGCAATAGCTTTCTTTACCTGAGTAAAAGCATGTCGAGCAGACGTGTCGAGTTCGATAGCCTTGTTGTTCCCTCGAAGGAGATCGGTTAATGGCTGAATTAGAGAAGCACAATTAGGAATAAAACGTCGGTAATAACTTACCAAGCCGTTAAAAGTGCGAAGGCATTTTACTGTCTTTGGCTCCGGAAAGTTCAGTATTGCTTCGACTTTAGTAGCCAGTGGGCGTATGCCCTGGCAGTCAATAGTGTGACCCAGAAAATCGAGTGAGTCAACGCCTATCTGACACTTCTGTATATTGATGGTAACACCATGTTGGCGTAACCTTTCAAATGCCAAGTCCAAGTGTCTAAGGTGAGTTTCCTTATCTGGACTGGCAATGAGGCAGTCGTCTAAGTATGCGTATACAAAGTCGAGACCGCGAAATACTTCGTTGATGAAGCGTTGGAATGTTTGGGCCGCATTCCGGAGGCCGAATGGCATACGTAGAAATTCGAAAAGTCCGAAAGGCGTGATGATAGCCGTTTTCGGAATATCTTCCGTTGCCATCGGGATTTGGTTATAAGCTTTAACCAAGTCGATTTTGGAGAATATAGATGCTCCAGATAACGTTGCCGTCAAGTCGTGTATGTGAGGCAAAGGGTAGCAATCAGGAGTTGTTTTGGCGTTCACTCGCCGGTAATCACCAGTGGGTCGCCAATCGTTGCTATCCTTTTTCGGTACCATATGCAACGGGGATGCCCATGGACTATTCGATGGCCGAATGATGCCAAGGGTGAGCATATGATCGAATTCGTTTCTGGCAATTCTCAGTTTGTCAGGGGCCAGTCGTCGTGCTTTAGATGTCACGGGCTGTCCTGAGGTTATGATGTGGTGCATAACATTGCTGGTTATACACGGGAGGTCGTTAGATGGGCAATTCAGTTCCGGATATTTATCAACAATCGGTTGAAAAGTTGGATCGAGGATTGCTTTCATCTTAACGATTGACAAGCTGGGGCCTACGTAAGTTATGCCTTTGATAGACAAACTAGTAGTGTTGTCAATTAATCGTTTACGGCGGACGTCTACGAGCAAATCATGATGATTAAGTAGGTCCGTGCCGATGATGGGCATTGTGACGTCAGCGATCAGAAAAATCCACCGAATAGGTTTGCGTAAACCTACGTTCAGATAGACGTATTTCCGACCATAGGTTGCAATTGGTTTTCCATTTGCAGCCTGTAGGTTGAGGTTAGGATCCTTCTGTCGATCTGCTGCTGTAGCAGGAAGGACGCTGACTTCGGCGCCTGTGTCGACTAGATATCTAGTCTGGCTCATTACATCATGGATGTAAAGTAAGCGGCTAGTGCCACCGGCGACGGTTGCCGCTAACGCGTGCCGGCGGGATAGTTTCCCACAGACTTGGAGGCTTTGCCGAAATCACAAGGTTTCCGACAACATTTCGCTTCCTTGCCATAGGTGTTGTGATACCAACACCAGTCAGGATTTTTGACAGAACGTGTGTTGGACTTAGATCGTCCACGTGCGTTTTGCCGTTGAGGGGATCTAGAACGACGATTTGAGGAATTACTAGGCTTGTTTGACCTAAGCATCTGCTGGACGGAGTTGCATAACTCTATCATTGCAGAATCCTTCTTCGAAGTCTGTTCGGTAACAGAGTATACTTCGGTAACTGGCCGTTTCGTTATCTCTAGAATTCTATCTGCAGAGACAGCTAAATCATCTATGAGAACACCCTGAAGTGTCACAAGTACAGTCTGAACTGACTGTGGCAGTTTGGATAAAAATAGTTCTCTAAACAGTCCTTCATCGAACTGACTTTGGCCAATGATCTCTTTCATTCTTGCCAGCATGCTCACGGCTGACTGATCTCCTAACTCGATGTTACGAAATAACTCATCCAGACGTTGTCGATCTGTGAGAACGTTTCTCTTGAGGATGGATGCCTTTAGCAACTCGTACGAGTTACTTACCGACATCTGCAGAGTTACGCACCTGCTGAATTCCCGCGGTAGGGCGTGAATAACTGCAAGGAACTGTGAACGTTGATCAGTTATGCCATGTTCACAAAAATCGGACTCAGCAATCTGAAACCACGTTTCAGCATTATCTGGCCAAAATGGTACTAGCTGAATTGTTTTGGCAGTTGAGCGAATCTGAATAACCTTGGGGCTAGGATCACTCATGACGAAAAGTATGCCGATAACAATATAGTACAAGAATAAACACAAAAAGGAACGAACTCACCGGGTTTATCTGCGTGTGAATTGAAGATGAAGTTCGTGGTAGGGCTCACCAGTTTACGGGAGCTGTAGGTATCGACGTTCGCGAGTTGTACGGATTATACTAACGCAAGATCTTATACCAACAACCACTATAGTGTTCGTTCTTCGAGTACCAAATGGTAAAGCAAAAGACCAGATTTTGTCGTCCAAATACGATATATATTTTGGGACCAAATCGCGGGTAGGAATGAATGCTTAGCTAGCTAGTAATCGTGCACGCACGTGACACGACGAAGCACCAAATGGCGGGGATGCTTGACCGTAAGCCTTCAGCTAAACAAGTCGACTTAAACAGTGATGGTCAGCATCCAATGTTGAGTGATGATTGCTGTGGTTAATAATTTTGGGGAATTATTTACCGCTACAGTGGGTAGGTAAAGGAGGTTGTTTCTTTCAGGTTCCTCCCATTTATGCTGACTGTTGTCAGTTGTTGTTGTTGCTGTTGGTGGTGTTGCCCAGGAAACCTTAACTTAATCTCTCAAGAACTAAACCAAAACGTACAAGATATCCCGTTTAATATCAAGGCACTTCATAAGGCATATTTTATTATAGGGAATAAAAATAAAAAGACAGTTGCAGCGAAGAAAATTTTCTTTTCGACGAAATCATCAACTAGACAGCTGTACATTCGTGTATTTATAATGAATGAGTAGGAAAGTTCCAGGATAATTTCTGGTCAAGGGACAGATTAATAAAATTATAATTAGAAATTTCAGCTTCCATAATAAACAGAGGGAAGGATAAAACTCAAACAAAGTAGTATCATAATTACTGAGGAGATTGACATATTGTACAATTAAGGGTTAGAAATGTAGAAATAAAAATAATAGACAGGATTTTTAGATAAAAAACCTAGTGAGATCATAACTAATGTAACGAATAATTGTTTATGCAATCAGGGATTAAATATGTAGAAATAATAAAATAACAAAGTAGACAGGAAGTTCGGATATGAAAATATGGTAGTGTAAATAGGGATTAAGAAAAACTTAAAATAACATGAATAAACAGGAAGTTTGGCTAAGAAAGTCAATGGGATAGTCACTATTAAAAAAATTACCTGTTTATGATGGCCAAGGCAGAGACAAGGGTTGAACGTATTTCTTTTGAACACATAGCTTGGGTTTGAGCTTTTGGATGGCTAATGCCTTTGCTATGCCCAGATGTCTTAATTTTATTCCCTTTGATAGGCTTGATCGAATCTTGTATATTATTTTGAAGGATTTTTCGAAAGGCGCTGAATGTCCTGAATTGACCAGATGTTCTGTCACTGAACTATATACACGTTTTCGTTCTCCTTTTACTAGCCAGGCTGGACAGTGTTCACGAGCGAGTTTTTCAAGTTGGCGCATGGTACGGCTGATGTATTCAGCTCCACGAGAGCAAGTAAACTGGTATATGCACGTTGAAGTGGCCCAATGCGATAGTTTGTTTTTCGCATTCTGGTTGAACAGTTTCTTGCAGGAGAGCGCTAGTCATAGGCTTGGGGCGAAGTATGTCTTCCTTAGAGATTTGCAGAGGCGTTTCCGAAGGATTTCTGCTTTAATGTCAACTTTGAATTCTAGGAAAGAGCGTATATCATATTCATGATTATAATGCTTGCCTGGTTTCACTAACTTGCTGACCCAGAGTTCCAAGGTCATTGGTGCGGCTGCACTCAGTCGGTACTTACTGGTGCTTAAAGTTTAACTGAGCCATTAAAGTGTATTAATGGCCAACACAATTTGGTCATATGAACAGTTTGCAGAAAATGACCCTATCCTAAAGTAATAATATAGTCACATAAAGGAAAGGGGGTAATGACCTGAGTAAACTAATGAACAGTCATTTCTAGTGACCCGCATCTTGAGAGAAAAGGCACGAATTCAAAAGGAGGGTATCCTGTAGTCAGGTGTAATGAAGGCAAAACCTATATAATAAACACTAATCAATGTTTTATTTTCTTTACTTGCAGGAAGATACTCTGGAGTCAATTATCTGGATCAAGAGATACAGCAGCTGCAGGATCTAAACCCTGGCTAAGAC